CCCTAACCCTAACCCTAACCCTAACCCTAACCCTAACCCTAACCCTAACCCTAACCCTAACCCTAACCCTAACCCTAACCCTAACCCTAACCCTAACCCTAAGCTATTTTCTGATGTTGGAGACATTTGATTTCATGTTTAACCGAGGTTTATTTTTTCAAAATTGCGTTTCTCATTGATTTCGCGAGACTAGGAAGCTTCGCTCATCGGCCAAATGTATATTCATTTTGACGTTCATATGACGATGTCCAGCAGATCTTACCTAACCAACGCGAAAATTAAGTAGGGACATCAGCGAGAGACTTAGATCCAGGACAACGCCAACGATTACTAGCTACTTAGATTCTCGCACCTCACTCAAGTGATCAGAAATCTTTCGGTGGCGAGGCATGAGATATGTTGCAAATGCAAAATATTTCCTAGCACTATCCTTGCACCGACTCAACGACCTTCCCATCCTTGATAATCTCTGTGATCCATCCAATCGTCATCTTGCTTCTCGTTGTATCGGCGAATTTTTCATGGTCTCCAACTAAGTGTTCCTTGTACCACCGGTCTTCTTTCATTTTCTTGTAGTCATTGATATCCTTGAACACGACTTGGCTGAAACAATCGTAGTCGGCCACATTGGCCATTTGTGGATCCATTAAGAGACTCATAAGCTGACGGGTCTGCGATGTGTTGTGAACCTTTTGTTATACAGTATCAGTGTTACTTTCGTAGCGGAGCATTTGGAGCTAGGATTCTCACCATTGTCCACCGCTTGATACCGTACTTGACCATGAGATCCCGCGTCAAAGAGGCTGAAACTTGCGTCATATAATGCCTATACTCTTCTTCAGAGAGACTCTGTTTGCGATAGCCGAGAATCGTTAGACAGAGAAATTGGCTGCGAGGATCGTCTGGGAGAGGTGGTGGAATTTCGCTATCTACATCCATGGTGAGTACAGCACACTAAAGAAATTGGACAACAACAAGTACAACAACAACAGGAAGTAGTAACCGAAGGTACCAAAATGGCTATATACACGCGACAGCGGGTGATAGGAAGATTAAGAACATAAATTTAAGTCGCTGGAAGCGTGCAGCGGCGAATCTGATTAACATGTAGGGGCTTACATGATTGATCTATGCCGTCGATCCAGCCCGCCAAATTTTGATATTGAGCCCGCTGGACTGCTAACAAGAGTCATCCCGTAAACGACCCCTGGCGCGGAAAAATGCAGTTGGCATGATCGCCGAAGAGCCAACACCGCAGACGGGAAATCCTGCCAACCAAGCATCGATGGGGCCCACTAGCCAACAGCGTGTTACGATTAAACTGACCCGGTCACACCAAACCCGAAGCCCGATAGATTATGACCGCCCGAGGTGGGTCATCGGTCAACGAGCTGAACTTGCAACCATGGAGAATGCCCGTGGCATTAGTTGGATGGCAGGCACGGTGTAGTCTGCTGTAACACGCAGAGAGTGGATCGCAAAACGGGCAGCAGTTAATAATGTTGAGAAAAATATGTTGATACTTGAGCATCGACTGAGCCAGGCAGGCTACAATTAATAGGATTCTACTGACGTTCTTGAGTCACGCAACTGGCAGCCGCTCAAAATAGCCGAACTTCAACATACCCTCACAAAAATGGAATTGTTCATTGCTAGACTAGTATTTATGAATAGCTGGTTGACTCTGGCCTCGGTCGGCGTCGCAGCAGCAGTGCTCTTGTGTCTCGTGGGAACTGCGATATACAACCTGTTCTTCCACCCACTACGCGACTATCCCGGGCCTTTGTTATGGAGGATGAGCAGTTTCCCCTGGTGTTATCACCAGATAACGGGCAGGCGAACGCATATTCAAGCGAAACTCCATCTCAAATACGGGGATGTCGTTCGTGTTCGGCCAGACGAGCTGAGCTACACGAGCGCGCAAGCGTGGAACGACATCTACGCGCACCACCCGGGCAGGCCAGAGTTTCCAAAGGATCCTCGGCGCCAAAGGCGCAATCCGAACAAGCAAAGTGTTCGTTATCTAGTCGACGGTATGTCTATATTTTAATTCAGTTGGACTAATAAAGTGCATCGTCTAGCACATCCTCGGCGCGAACAAGCAAGACCACTCCCGCTATCGCCGCCTCCTCTCTGGCGCCTTTTCCGAAAGAGGACTTCGGCAGCAGGAAAAGCTCATTATGGGGCACGTCGAACTCTTGATCGACAACCTGTCAAAGTTCGTCTCGACCGGTGAGAAGCTTGACCTCACGAAGTGGTATAACATGGTAGTTTTCGACGTCATCGGTGACCTTGCATGGGGCGAGTCCTTCCACTCCCTCCGCGACGGCAGGCTGCATGCGTGGATCCCCGCTATATCGTCGACGGTCAAATTTGCGATGCAGTCCAGCGTCTTCTACGAGTTCGGCCTGGACTTTCTTGTTCCCATTTTCATCTCCAAGACGGTCCGGAAACAGAGGTTGGCTAATTACAAGTTTTCTGAGGAAAAGGTCAATGAGCGGCTTAGACACGGTACTGACCGCGGGGACTTTTGGGACCGCATCTTGATCAAGAGTTCCAACGACGACAATAACGGCGACGATGCAAGAGCAGCGAGCGAGGGCATGACTCGCGGGGAGATGCTCAATAACGCCAGCATCATGGTTCTGGCGGGCTCTGAGACGAGCGCGACAACGTTGTGTGGCATGTCGTATCTGCTTCTAAGCGACCCCAAGGCCATGCAACGGCTCGTTCAAGAGGTCCGGTCATCGTTCAAGTCCGCAGAAGAGATCACGCTGCTGTCGGTTGGCCAGCTACCTTTCCTTGATGCCGTTTTCCAGGAAACCTTGCGGCTCTACCCACCTGTCCCAACTCATAGCCAGCGGGTTTCGCCTGAGGGAGGCGCAAGCGTTTGTGGCAAATTCATTCCTGGGAATGTACGTCCATGCTACTCTCTAACATTTTCTGCCATCCCCTGTTTTTCATTTTGTAGATGTGTTTATCATGTCATTGATAATCAATTAACTGGCCACAATAGGTGAGTGTCGGTATTTCGATGATGGGTGCGTGCCTCGATCACAAGAACTTCTACCGAGCTTCTGAGTTTTGTCCCGAGCGCTGGCTCAAGGATACGCCCTTGGACTTCAGAATGGACAACAGGTCGGTGTACCAGCCCTGGAGCATGGGAACAAGGAACTGTCTTGGTAGCAACCTAGCGCGCGCAGAGATCCGCTTGATAATGGCGAAGGTTTTGTGGCATTTTGATCTTGGACTTGAAACAGACCTTATGTATGGAAACTGGTTTGACCAGAATATCTGGGGCGTATGGTTTAAGAAACCCCTTTGGGTGTCGTTGAACCATGCTGAACACGTCAGATAATGAGTAGACAACTGAGATGATTTGAGAACGAGTGGTAGTAAGATTTCAACTCAGCAATAGTATCAGTTCATTCTCAGCGAAGTCTTTACTTTATTGATGTATTTCTACCTCAAATTCAATCAACTCGAACCTTTACTCGACCGCAACAAAAACGCAACCAAGGAATGACGACTAGACGAAAGCTGTTTGACGACCGTAATTCTGTCGACATCCTCTCGGGCAAACTCCATCAGCCCCTTGAGCCGTTTCAAATCAAATACTACATCGTGTCCCAGCTGGAGCAGCAGCAAGTCTTGCAGCCGAGCTTCAGCTTCTGAGGAGCCACAGGTGTCTGGAACAACATCTGCTATAAGGATTAAAGTAGCTTTGTCGTTTATCCGCAGCAGATCAAAGTGGGCTCGGAGTTCTGCCACGCAAATCTCGGCATGCTCGCTCGAAGAGCCGTAGAAGTAGGGATCAGGGAGGTGAAGCAAGTAAACGGCCGCGTCCGTCTCGTTTTGCGGTGTTCCGGGCACGCGACTCTGGACCTTCAGCCAGCTTAAGGAGTTCACGCGTTGCGAGGAAAGTCTTGACTCTGTCTGCTTGATCCCCTCGCGTACCTGGACCACAAACCAGAGAGATGGGCTGCGGCTGTAGAGTGCTTTCGCCACCGCCGTGGAAACTGCATTCACCTGTCACCATCGTTTCGTTAGACACTATCACCTCGCAGCCAGCTTCAGAAGAGGAAGCTCACCTCGACTATGGCCTTTCCAAGTCCCTCTAAATCGATGGAAGAAAGAATATGAAGTACGGCACTCGTTCCGCCACTTGTAATCAATCGCTGGAAAGCGACTGCTCTGCGATGGAGCTTGGCATTCTTCTCACACGCAGCCGCTAGCGAGAGAGAGCAGTTTGTGGCAATCTGATATGGACTGGCGTCCTTTTTGTGATGTCGCATTTGTAGTCGAGTGGCCTCTGCCATGCGCAGTGAGGCGGGGACTACAGTTTCGGCAGTAAAATTCACGGCATCCAGGAACGATGGTTTCTTCACCAGCAGGGTTGATAGAGGAGTATGTGCTACGCTTTCAGGATGCGGCTCGCACAAGATACCGGCAGTCGCCGTTGTTCGCACGATGCGCCGAATTTGCTGCGGAAGCACACCAGTCAAATCGGCCAGGTCGTCGTAGGCTACCCTCGTCCTCAACGGGACGTATGCCAGGATCTGGAACTCGTTGAGCCACTGTAGACATGCTAGTAATTGTGTCTGTGAAACTTCGTTGTCAGTGTCAAGCTTCCCCCCCGCCCCCCTCCAATGCATTAAGGCACTAATGATGCTTGGAGCCGGCGTCGAGGAATCCAGTTATGAGTGACATACCTGTCTGACCAGGCCGTGGAGAAGCTCAACAGCTGCGTTTGATAACGAGACATCAGAAGTCGTGACTGAGGCAGTATCTGCCTGCCATGCCTCCGGATGAGCTGTTAGTCCGAGGGCCACAATCGTGTCCGCGCATAAATCGTTCTCGTTTGAAGCCATGGTAACTTAGGTAGATGCCGTTATCGCTTGCATGTGCAAAGATTATTGACGATCTAATGTTTTCTTTTGCCTAGAAATCGTGCTGGAATTAGGCTTGTTGGGCTTTCAAAGGCCCATGAACGTCGACAGATACAGGGCCGATAGCTGCTAGGCCCACCGAACGCGATTCTGTTCTGAAGTGTTTGCGAGATTCGTCGTATATCGCTTTGATCCGCGTATGGTTGTTGGCGTTGGTTTTCGTACTAATCCCTCCTATTCCTCCGCAAACCCTAGACGTAAAGTTATGTTGGATTCGGGCCTCCTGTTCGTGATCAAGGATGTGGAGCCCGGTGTCGCTGACTCGTAGCCCGAAGGCATGCCTCTAGCCCGAGGTTTCTTCGAAAGACGTTGCTACATTAGGTCCAACAACCAAAGTAACGAGTAGGGACGCTGGGAAACTAATCAAGGATCAGGCGAGCCCTGAGTCTCGTACGTCCCAACCAGGGATACGACCAAGAAAATAGGGCCGGCCTATTACGTCTAGAGGGTTCAGCGCACGATAAGGAAACAATTGGTAAAATAGGTAAGCCATAGGTCCCGTATATCCCAACCAGGAAGGCGACTAAGAAACCCGGGCCGGCCCACTGATCCGTCGCATTCCACTACGTTCTGGCCTTGGTGTGCTGCGTTAGCGCCAACAACAGGATACTTCACGCAGGGGTTCGTCGGCTAAGCCGATGCAGTTTTGTCCACCAGATCAAGCCGACCAACGTCCGTCGCGCGAAAACAGACTCTAATGAGACGAAAACCTCACTATCAGCGTTGGACAGACTTATTCTTCGGCAAGAACTGGAACTTTGGTAACGAACTTGTACCAATTATGAGCAGCATTGCTTACGGACCACTGTATCCGTACGTCGTACGTCTATGTACAGGGTTCGGTTCAAGCTTTCGGCAAGCTTTGGTCAAGCTTTCCCTCAGTTCTTGGCCTCGCGGCCCGCGGGATGTGGGGTATCCAAGTGGACCCCGCTGACGGAGATGATCTCCTTGAGGCCTTGGTACTTGAGTTGCATGGAAACGACATCACGCCCATGAGCTAAGGTAAGCCACAATGAACTGATGTTGTGATTGACTGGTCCTACCTTACTTATGTACATGTATTCCATTCAAGCTGTTTGCGAGACATTCATACTCCCACACAAACATAAACCACTTGTTATCGACTTTACGGACATTGGCGCACGACCTCACGCCATCAGGCCACGCGGGTCCCTGAGATCTACAATGGCATCCAAAAGCCGTATTGATGATGCTGGCATTGAAACGAAACTGCGTAACAGTTGTGACACCTGTTCTACAGCCAAAATAAAATGCACGCAAGAAAAGCCGGCATGCGCTTATTGCATCAAAAAGCTGAAAGTCTGTGTCTACGGTACCTCGAAGCGCGTCCGTCGGACACAGCGATCTCACAAACAGCAACAGCAACAACAGCAGCAGCAAGAGCATGAGAATCAGAAGCAGCGTCGACAGCGGCAACACGCAGTCAGCGAGAGCCGGCCGCCACGACCGACCACGGCACTGACGTCAACGGCTTCACCACCGCCATATTCATCTTTTGGCGCCATGACCAGCGCCGAGTTGATACCGGCGCAACAGACGTACCCATTGGTAACGCCAACGGACAGCGGTGAACAAGACTGGCCGGACTTTCTGACAGCCCTCATGGAACCGTACACTTCCACGGAGTTGGATAGCGTAGGCGTCTCGCTCGACACATTCACATACGTCGAGGACTCGGCTCTCAACCTCTCACCACCACTTTCGAGACTTGCCCAAAGCCACACATCGGATCGGACTAGAGTACAAGCTTCCCAGCATGCTAGCTCTGTTTCTGGATCCGTTACAAGTTCGAGTGACTTCATGCCCGGCTCACTGGCCAGACCCCATGGTAGCAGCACAGATGAGACGACTTTCTTCCCACCGAGCCCTCAGATCGCATCAGGGGGGGCGTCCTCAGATTCAAAGCACACCTGCGCACAGCACTACAGCCCTAGCCGTACGGGCTCCTCCGCCAGTCGACCAACCCGCCGCTGCCAGTGCCTCATGCGGTTGCTTGACTTCATGGCTCAGCTGTCGATAGAACCGTCCCAAGCGTGGGACGCTGCCCCCGATGGCGAACCTTCGACAATCAATACTCACTCAACAAGCCTCGAGCTCGTCAGCAAAGGTATCAGAAATATAAGTGACGGGCTCGACAAGATCTTGCAGTGTCCATGCTCTCATGACACTTTCCTGCTCTTGCTCGTCATATTCAAGATCCAAGCTTGCTATATCGACGCCGTGAACGCCATTACAAGCGAGGATGATGGCGGCGGCGTCAAAAACTTCCGGTTCAAGCTTGCTCCGCAGTCTTCGTGGAATGATGCACCTGATGACGATGACGACGACGACGATGGCGAAGACTCCGGGGATGAAGACCAGCGGCGCATCTTCATCCACTATGTACTTTCGAGATTAGCAGGTCTGAGGACTCTGATCATTCGACTATCCGAGCGGCTTGTCGAGCCCAAGACCTTTCCGAGCGAAGCACGCCGGCCAACAGTACCGCAAGGCCCTCCGTATTACTCAGTGGTTGAGGGCAAGATCGAGATCACGCCGTTGTCTGCGTCGTCGTTGTGCACCTTGGCGTCGGATTTACATAATCGGTTAAAGGGTATGTCACAGGCTATGTCAGAGAAGCTGCGAGAAGTATAACAACAAGGAGAGAAATAAATAAATAAGAGACGATGAAATGATATCAAGAGGTCGACCACTAGATAAAAATACTAAATCTCACTCTACAACTCGTGGGTCAGATTAGTACAGTGACTCATGCCAGGGCCGGCCCAGAATCAAGAGTCGCCTTTTTCTTCCATCCCTGAAGTCCATATCAGAGATTGCTGAACTGCAAACCAGACATATGTTCATTGACTGGTAAGTAGTGCTGTGTATGCTTCACTATTGGTTTTCCTAAACATAAATAATTTTGCCAGTTTGTACTTGATAGGATGCACCAGAATCAAATGTTCAATCACCAGGTACATTTAACGTTCGCTGCCTTTTATATTTAACAAAATAGCCAGTATTACTTTTCTGGAATTGAATTATGAAGACAGTCGTGATCGAACTACGTGTTTCACAACCAGATTTCACGGTCCTATCTTACGATCGTACTGATTCTTCATTTCGTTGATGCTATGCAAGTCAACTCAGCCAGCCGACATTTCCAGAAGGTTTAGTCACCGCTTATTCAGCTTGTGGCCTCGGTTTTATAATTACCGAGATCCACTCTCTCGCCCGCGCGAGCCCCGTTATTGCCTACTTCCAAAGACCCAAGAGACAGCAATTCACAGCATATCTCGATGCCCGCATCGTGAACATGCCACCACTACGCTCGCGTTCCCGTATGCGGATCTGCGGTGAAGAGCAGCTCTCGTGAGTTGCGTCCTCGTTGGCGCTAGAGACGCAGGCGCTCAATCGAGCCCTAGTGATAACGGCTGACCTTCCTTGTTGGACAAATTTCGTCGTTGGGAGGAGGTCCTGGGTAGTGTAGCCGGTGGCAGCGCGGCACAGCGCTGCACTAACTTCTCTGTGACTCGTCTAGTCGTACATCTCGCATGGGTTCTGCACTTCTGCCTGGGATATCGGGGCATCGCTGTGGGGGCGGCGGGGTTCGGCTTTGTGGGTGGTCGTGGGTATCTTGGTGCGTTGCGAGCGGCCAACAGCCCAACCCCAAAACCTTTCTTTATTCCCGTGGGGCAAAGTTGGCCGCCGCTGCGCTCCATTTAGCATAGGTAGATGTCTTGGAATACTGAACGATCGCTGGAAGCAAGGCTCATCAGAGAGACAAGGGCAGAGGTTATCTCAGACCTCAGACCTCTGCTTCGGAATGGGCTCACCGAGGTGTCAAGAAAGTACGTGCCGCACCGCCACAATCACCGATGTCCACCTTTCCATAAGTCAACTCGAAAAGATGAACTGCCGCGCCACAGCGGCGCGACCCACCGACCTGCAGGACAGCTGCGACCGCCTGGTCTACATAAATCGCCTGCACAAGGAGATAACGAGGCAGAAGAGGCAAACCACATTAGGTGCAAGGCAACCTTCAGGTGAGAGTATTTGGAGGTTGAAACACCGAACGAGACTTACCCGTGGCGGAAATTCCGCATCTAGATTTCCGGAGTTCCGCTGACCGGGCAGTACGCTTAAGCCGGCCAGCAGTTTCACTTTTGACTTTTTATGTTGGTTACTTCGCTCTTGAGTAGTGACTACGATTGAAATGTTATCACTCAATTAATTAGAATAAGCATAGCTTTGCCGGGTTAGCAAAATCCTCCGCATATTCGAACTAGGTATCCGTTCTTCAATAGAGCTAAGATTTTCTAGCAATAAGGCGGCGTTGTTGGTTTATGAACACCTTAATGATACCTCTATAGGCATGACTTGGCGTAATGGGATTCAGACCTGGTTTGGAATAGATTTTCATCTTTTATAAATCTCCATACTGCCTGCTCTTGCGTCTGCATCTGTGCGACCGTCTTGCTCGGCCGAGAAAAGTATTATCCGGGTCTGCTTGACGAGTCCTGAACGTCTCGAAGCCCTCTGATGTTAAGGGCGTCTAGCGCTCCTTCTTGGCTGGAGCAGCTCTGCGAAGCTTCAATGACACGACGTGGGGTGCCAAGGCGGACTTTTGGACTAGTCATTGTGATGCAGTTCGGATGGTTGCAGGGACGAGACGGGATGCGCGATATTATTGAATGAATCGAAGAACCAGGCGAGGAACTTGAGTGCTCCTACAGAAGGATCTGCATGCTTTCGCTTCGCACTGCATGATGTCGACCAAATGCATGGCACTCGCACCCGATAGAATGCGCTGCTTCCTGTCTCTTGCTCTAGCTTGAGCTATGGCTTCATGTATGCTAGCCGCCTAAACAGTCTTTCGGCTGTTCTGCTCTCTGCTAACAGCTCTCTGACTCCTCAGAGTCACCGAGGCAGACGAAGTCCCAACGAACGACAGTGGAGAACGAAGGCGCGCTCTGCTGTATCTGCTTGTATCATAACGCTGTCCGAGTTGAAGCCGTAATGGCAGCCTATGTAGATGAAGGGGCTGTGAGTCTTTCTGCCTAGGATGCCGACTTGTCTTTGGACTCGTGTCAGGTTCTGCCCCGGAAGCTGTCCTTGAGTATTGCTATTAAAAGAAGCTTGATTCTATAGGAGGAAGTGAGTGAGGGCTAGTATGGAGGACTTGGAGATTGGTTATGTAGTGTGCGTAGCTATAGGCTGGAGTTAGGGAGTATTCGTTCACTATCTCTCCATCTACTATGAAGAAACCGTGGGCGGCTAGCCTTCCTTAGAGCTAACATCCCTAGCTACTTGAGAACGTTGTGCTAGATTATTTGAACTAATATTAAACGCGACGAAATGCCAAGATTACCGGGGACTATTAATGATATGGAAAGATTTCTAATGAAATACATAATTCCGAGACATGATAAGGGTTGATTTAAAATTATAAAGTCGGGAGAAATGTGCAGGGTGGCCAAGACCCGGAAATAGACGGTATTAAATGAAAGAACCTTTAATACAAGCTCGTTCGGTAAGGTAGTCTGGATGATGTATGTTACTTTATGTCAACATGCCCTCTAGTGACCGGCATGAGAGCTTACGGAATTGTAATGTAGGCCTTACTTGCGCGCTTTAACAATCGTCTTTTTTAATCTCTGGTAGACTTTATCTTAGCTAGATCTTATTCGTGAGAAAACTAGTATAGAGGGAAGGCCTAAAGAGCTTGTTGCTGAAGTCGTTCACGAAACTTTACGCGCAAGTATTCGTGGTGATGAACGGGAATTTATGAAGAAGTCTTATTAATTGACTTATCCGTAAGCTAACTTATTTAAGCTTTTGCTAAGCTATAGACCTAGACTTCGAGACCATTGACATAGCAAGTAGATATGTTGTCGTGACCCATAGTTGACACGTTGCTTTTAGTATATTCGAAGTGATACTATTATTCTGGCTATAGGCCTCTGCGGTAGTAGCGTATCGCTTTCTCGAAGCCACGGAGCCTTGGTGTATGGAGCTGAGGTTAGGTGTGGAGTGATAATCGAGATAAGTGATGCTTTAGGAGGATGGAAGGTCGAAGCGACTGAGTGGCGGACCGAATGCCTTGTTGCGGAAGATATGCAGTCTACTTCTAGTTTAGCTTCTGGCTTCCCTGTAGTATTCGCGACTTTACCGTTTAGTGGAGCACTTGCAGGCCACTTGCTTCCATATATAAACATGATTAGAAGATATTGCGAGGCGCTAGGCTCTGTTTGTCTTGCTGAGATGCTACTGAAGACGTTCGATACGAGTACTAAGGGAGGTTCGGCCCGGTGATGGGCTCTTGAGATAGTATTTACTCGGTAATTATATTGTTACCCTGCTCACTCCTTGCCGCCAGGGGGTGTTAGTAATGAAACTGAGCTGGTAAGCTAAGTTAGATTATGGACACTATTTATAGCTCTGGAGGTAGATTGCTAGATGACGTCCCTGACTGTTGTGAAGATTCGATAGTAGTATGAATAATATCCTGTACTTTGAAGAAAATGTCTTGTACCTTCTTTTACCTGATTATAGCGCTACTACGAGGTCTCGTAGCCGAGATATTTATGCTTCTAGTAGGGTGCGCCTGAATTTGCTATATTACCCTACCCCGCTACGCTTCTAGGCTAGAAAAGTGTTACGAGAATAAAGAGGGGATACTACTCTACTACGAAAAGAACGTAAAAGACTTAACTTTATAAATAATTAATTAGAGCTACTCTAGATTTATGCTTTGAGTAAAATGAATTAGGACGATCCTGTAGTTAGTGGTGTACTGCTGGCATAATCCTACTAGAAGATTTATAACTATGACTTCTTAACTTTTCTATTTAGTGTTACCTAATGCCCCCTTATACTCCTTAACGTAACCAATAATCGCCCGTAGAGAGCTCTTTTCCCGACTTGCCTTAAAATTAGCTAAGGTTCTCCGTAGTTTGCGCCGTTTGTCGTACTAGTAATGCTGATCGTCCGTTGCCGTGCGCTTCTTACTGACTTCGGAGACTATTCTGTTCTTAAGTAGTGCTGCTACGTTTCCTAACCTCTCTTGGGCTTCCTAGGCTGTAGAGGAAAGCTGATCGTTGGAGGATGCCGATGCCTTAATGGCCTCGAGGCGACTTATTATGTCTTCTTTGATGCTTGTAATCGCTGTGCTAGCCTCGGCCGCTGCTTCTGTAGTAGCAGCTTGTTTGCCCTGCAATTCGATATCTGTCTCTATTGCATTCTTGATGGCATGATACCCGTTACGTAGGAAGTCTTGAAACGCTTGGAACTGGTCGTCCGTTGATAGATCTTTGCTTCTGACGGCCTCTGAGGTGTCCTTTAATTTGTCTAAGTTGCCTAGGCCGTCCTCTGCGATTTGTCGGTATTCCTGGAAGTCGGGGGTAGGATTATCTTTGACGATCTCGTTACCTATTGGGCCGATTGCCTTATGTTCTCCTACATTGCTTCTATCTTTATCGTTACTCGAATTGAAATTGTCATTGTAGAGAAATATGCTACTAATCCTACTGTTATGAAGTGAATGGCTACGATTTGCTGTAGCTTTTGTTCCCTGTTGCTGCACTGCTTGGCCCGATAGGCCTACTCTATATTTTAGAGATGCGGCGTCCTTAGGCTGTTGCCTCTCTCTACTTTTGGAAGTATTTTGATCTTGGGGACCTCGAGAATCTTCCTCGACTTTACTGGAAGATACTGGGGCGGGACTCGGGCGGTTGTTGGACTCGGAAGTCTGCTGGAAGTCCTGAATGGCGCTGGTCGCTTGTAAAAGAGCTGGTTTCGGGACAGCCTGGCTACTAGCTTGATTTGAGGAGCTGGCTATATTGCGCGATACTGGGGTAAGTTAGAAACAAGGGACTGATGTAGGTGGGTTGTGTTAGTACTGACGTTGCTTCTTTGTTTCTGAAATCTCTCGTGGCTGGATTTCTCGCAGCAGGTAGTGCTGTATCTTGCCTTTGACGTCCTTCTGGCGGTTTTTAATTACTATGTTAAACAAGGCTTCTGTAGACGTGCCACTCGCTGCGAAACCCTTCTACGAATCTCGGGAGCTGACGGCTCGTATGCCAAACTACAGATATAGGTCAAGAGGATTCGCGAGGCCGAGATGTGTCGCTGCTGTCTTCCGGTAGGTCTGTTCGTGACTGGTCTTTCCGAGGTGTGCCCAGTGGCTCCCGAATTTGGCCAAAAGTACTGAGTCGAGATCCTGGCGAGAGATCTTTGACTTGATCCACGCTGCGAAGGGTCTTCGGCGTCTCGTTCTTGGCAGCTTCTGGTCGTACGTCCGGAATCCGTCAATAAGATTATCGTATGCGGAAGCAGCACGCTCGCGTCCTTCGCTAACAACCAGTCGGAGAGAAGAAAGGAGATGGTCGAGGGTATGATTGGTTTCTTGCGTCGAGGACCGCGGCATCACTCAGGTGAACGTGCTGTACCAATGATGATTGATCTTTGACAACGTTGAGGATAAAGTTGTGGTGGTGGAGTTGAGATGAAGCCTTGCGTCACGTTCGACAGGTCAAGCCTCGACAGGTCGAGAAGAAAGCAAACGCGCGCATCTGTTTCTTTCAGTGGTCAGTGGCTCAGACGAATTGTCAGCAGTCGGTTGATGTCTAAATGGGAAGGAGGGAGTGAGGAGGGGAGGAAGGGAGGGTGCGCGTTGATGATATTGAAGTGGAATATTGAAGTAGGCAGTAGCTCGGGGTGGTACCTACCCAATTTGAGCACACCTGCATCTGAATGCACTTCCATGCACAAAGTGAGAAGTCACCACCCACAGATCCACTTCGCAAATATAGGTAAGGTACGAATACCCACATTAAATCAATACCGCAGGGGAAGTCCTTGCCCGCGAGCCTGCCGCAAATGGAGGTCTGAGATAAGCGCCTGCCTATGTAGTACCGCGGAAACTACACTTGTTTGCGGCAGCCAATCAAATTAATGTGCTTGGGTACCTGAGTATTGAAACGAAGCAAAGTACTCGGAAAATGTTGAAAATAAAATGAATGTGTTTTCTGAAATATTCCACAGTCATGAGAGTTTTCTTGGAATTCTCAAACATCGGACGTATGAAGAAATGAAGATATTCTGGTGGAAATGGCTCCCATTCACGCTGGCATCCCACCTAAATGTCAGCGAGAGGTACATGGGCACGGACGTGCGTTCCGCGGGCCGCGGGCAGTGGCGCAAAAGCCACTCAACTCACCTTACCCACTCACGTGACACTCACCTTACCCACCCCACACCCTCTTATGCACCATCTCCAACCTTTACATCGCACCTTATCTTGTCGCATCCATCGCATTGGAGGCGCGCACGGCCGAAGGAACCTGTGCCAGCTGCCTTCGACCCCCCACTCAAAAGCCTCCGCTGCTGTGTCCGTTGCTGCACAAAACTTCCCATCGAAGTGCCGGATCATTGACCAGCTTTCTTCTACCATACGAGGCACAAGTGCCTGCTTACCTTCCAGTGGAGAGTCCTTACTTAGAAGGTTCGTCTCTCCTCCGACGACGTAGAGCGGTGCGCAAAGCAATTCCGTAGGGCCCATACCTCTTGAAGAGCCATGACCATCGTCGAATTATACAGTCCTTCCAGTAATACCGGATTTTGATGAGGTAGGTATTACACAGGCAAATCCCCCCACAGCAGAGGCTCAAGACGTGCAAATCACTACCTTCTCCCATCGTAGCATCTTCTCGCCCAACCCAACCAAGAGCTCCTGTAACCACTGACCGCATCAACAGAGCCACATCCACTCCATCCGCCAAACCAGAACCCATTGCACCTAGCTTTCGAACTGCACAAAGGACAATTATCGCCACAAGCCCGTTGACATTGGCACGAATCTCGCTTACCTACAACACTATCACCCCGTCGTCATACGCCGCTAGCTATCGGACAGTCTCGCGATAGTTTGTGTCCAGCCCAAATCGATCAGTGTTCCCAGCAGAGCCGCTAATTTCATCGTGTTGACAAGTAGGGTGCGAAGCAAGATGGACTTTCTCGCTTGCCGCCTCGATGCCGTTGGAAGCAGTGGGCTGAGGACCTTGGTTCTTGGTGCGACATGCCTCGGATTCGGTCGGGGCAATTACCTCTTCTGTGGATTTAGAAGTTTAGTATATTGATATGGCTCTGACTCTGGCTTAAGGACGCTGTTGGTTTTCCTTATTAAGTCTCATTAGATTAGTAAACTATGTTAAAAGCAGAAATAGTGTTACCTCCAGAAGCCTTGTTGAGTCATATCTTTCAATAAACTGACCCCAAATTCAAAGCGTCGTTTTTTATACTTACGTAGGCGTTTATTAGCCTTAAAGTAGCAATTCTATAGTGGTACCCACGTATGAGGCTCTAATCAAAATTACAACGAAGATAAAGCCCATCTATTCATAGGCTGAAGTGTAAAAGACGGTCAGGCATGAGATATCAATACATGTATCTAGTAATCTAAAGAGCATCCTAGGGGGGCGTTAGAATAAACTGACGAAGCCTCTGCTTACATTTCCACTCGAGATCCGACAGCAATTAACGGCAGTGCTGGAACAATTTTGTCGAATCGCTTCAGAAGCTGCCTTGGCGCGGCACCCGTCAACGGGCTGAACTTGCGAGGCTCTTTGTTATCCTTCTTGACGGTCGCCTCGTTAAAACCTAGCCGCCTTGCCCATATATCCGCGACATTCTTGGACGTCTCGTCTCCCATTCGCTCCCAAGTCTGTTCAAACTTGACCCAGTCCCGTGAGCGGCCCTGAGGTAGCCATGCCCCATTGGTATGCGCGTAGGACTCAGGGAAGATGGGTCGCTTCTCGCTATAGCCGTAGACGTCTTGTATACGGTCTTTGATCACGTTAAAGCCGTTCACCTTGTCGTTAGCCTCGGTTGGCTCGGGCGTCTTCGCGGAAAGGCCGTCACGAGCGGCATTGTGGGCCTGTCGCCATCGAGGAGGCCTTGAACTCTATTGCCAACGATAGTAGGGTCCTCGTTGCGATCATCTAGCAGACTCATGTTAGCATTTTATGTTCCACTCTTTGTGATAGTAATCTTAAAGAGACTCACACTTGGCCCAAATAGATGTCGGTACTGGCGTTATTGCCGGCGTGATACGCCACTTTTGGTTCTTCCACTCCTTTATGATGTGGATGGAGTCGTCTTCTAACGCGTTCGCTCGTGGGGCGGTAATGAGGATGTCCACATGCGAGTGCAGCTTATCTACCAGCTGCATAGGCTTCGAATATACCTCTTGGTACTGTGGCGCAATATCTGCCATAGCTCCCCTCGTCTGGGTGGTGTCCCAGCCTTCTTTCTTCTCAATGCGTTCCTCGACCAGCGACCCCGATGTAATGGCAAACTGGAACGTCGCTAAGAAACAAAATTTATTCGCTTTTACGAACTACTTGGAGGTGCTTTGGTCCTTGTCCTTTGTAGTCGTCCCCGGCGGCGGCTCGAGGCCCGACTCGCAGGTGAGAATGATGGCGGCCGTGTCCTGCGGACTGTCGTCGCTGGCAGCAGCCGCCAGCAGCGACGACGAGCTTGACCCGGACGACTTGATGACCACCGCCCAGAAGCGATCCAGCATAACCGGCGGCGGAGCCCGAGAAGGAGCACCAAACTTGACGTCGAAGCCAAACACCCAGAAGTCGACGTGGACAATACCGCCGAACGGCCGAGAGACCAGCTTGAGGACCGCTGCTCGGCGTTGTTATGCGGCCGTCATGGATAATTATCACGAGGCCGTGTTTCTAGCACATACGACCATACCCATTGGAAAACTCGGGATCCCGTCCGCTCTCCCATAGATAAGCCAATGAGGGCCGGATTAGTAGTTGGGTCGGTGACGACCAGCGAATACCTGGTGTTGTATGTTGTTTTGTTTTTGGTCACGATGGAGAGGATTAGCTAGCAAGATCGTCAAACAACGCTAAGCTTATGCCTGTATGTAAAAGAAAGTGACGTAGCTAGTCCACCGTTCGTTTTTGATCTAGAGGTGTGGCACGTCATCTGTAGTCTAGACAATAAGAATGGCCACGATCGTATAATCCTTCCCAGATTTTACTAACAATGAGAGGGAAGGGAATAGGAAATGATGCACAGATGACTTTTACCGTCTCCTATTCATCACTTTGTGTCTTTGGCTTCCATTTGTTCGTTGTCTCGTCCAACATGCTCATATTATTCTGACATAACAGCTGCTGCTATGGTCTTTTGGGCATCTCCATGCTTCGATACCTTCAATTTCCTCGAACCACAAGTATGGACGAATGGAGTCCTAATCGAGATCGAAATTAGACCACACCGCATATCCATTCGGGAATTCTCCTCTGGGTTCAATTTCAAGCCCAAACATGAAGATGATCTCGTTTTTTTCAGTCTAATCGAACTCAATCCTTGACAGGGTCTAATGGTCCTCCGCGGCGGACTATGACCCCATCGGAACGATGACCGTGTCCTAGTACTGTCGCTGCAATGATCGGGGCACGTTTGTCTTCTTCTCCCACATGCGATCGCGAGCTCCGACCCACTAGATAAAGTACTCCTCGTCATCATTTGGGGATTCCTTTTGAAGGCGGTGCCTAACAACGGCCAGCGGAATCCAGTAGTCAGCGTTCTCCATGAACTGAGACCGGCCTCCCAGTCCCTCCCAATACTCGAAAGTCATGCTGGGTGCGTCCTCTTGCACCGAGATCTCTGGCTCCCAGGTTTTCTCCCCTGTTTCCCAAAGGATTTCGAATTCGAAACGATCGGCGTTTTCTCCTGAAGAGGAGCTGAGAGGGTCTTCACGCCTGTGAGACACGATGCCTCTGAGTTCCCATTGCTGCTCATTTGAGGCCATAGTGGCAGGTCGCGGTCTTAAGAATGGAGGACGATCAAGTAAGAAGTTGCAGACAAGCTCTTCGGGAGTACTGAAGTCTTACTCTAGCTGCAGACAGTTTCTCGGAAGATTCAATGACTTTGTGTGTGTGCCGACTTTGGACCCCAGGTAGCTGAGAACGGAGAACTTGCTTCTCTTACGTAAGGTGTCTTGAGGTGAGGTAATGCAGGTAGACGATATTTATTCGGTGTGAATTAAACCGTAAGGTACGTCCCGATGCTGCTCGTGTCTACACGGTACCTACCTTGTTAAGAGAGGAAACGTCCGCTTGAGACGGGGGCGAAACGTTGAGCAAGAGGAGGCACTGCCGGCGACCAAAACGGCAGGAACATGGTCCGTCTCTCCACGTGCATGTTCGAATTCCAGCGCATTCGCTCCTGCACCTCTCGCAACATGTCCACGCCCTCACCTCGCTGTCCGCAACTACAGAGATTTACCACCTCAACACACGAGACGAGACGACAATTAGATACACCGGAAATCGTCACGATTTTCTCCATTTACGAGCGCCTACTCCTCCGTCCACGTCTGGCCTGGAGTCCCCAGACTAACACACGAGGCCGGCAAGCCCGAGGCCCGTCCCGCCCAAGGCGGTCTCCAACATTCGAGATTGACGAGGCAAACCCCATCACGGCACTTTATTCCACTCGATTGGTGTCTCCCCATTCGAACGGTTTTGGTCAGACGGGTGTGGTGGGAGATGATGAGCAGTAGTGCCCAGAGATTCCAACGCCAGCTAAGTTTGCCGCTTGGAGTTGAGGCGATTGCCAAGTGAGCAAGGCGGCACAAATCGCAGTAAGAACGTGAGTATTGAGAATCGCGTGACATGTGGGCGACGTTCGACAGCTGACGGGAACCTAAAGCTCGACGGCAGCGCAGGAGTTGACGGAAATCACCACCCATACTCTGTCGCCGTGCTTCTAAGCCATCGTTCTGAGTTTGGATGGACATGCAGCATGTTGTTCGACCAAGAACTGGAATTGATTGGTCGTTAGGAACATCACCGTCTGTTGCGATACTCTCATTTAATGCCGCAGCCTGCGGGTTGCAGACCATGCGAATACTTTCTCCTATTCCAGGTCATTGTCAGTTTCGCAGCATCGAAATCGAGTCGATGAAAGTTTTTGTGGTTGTAACAACTCATGATAAGTCGGGGCTGACATTCATCCAGGAACGATAGACATTGAAGTTCGCATGCCCATCTATGCAAGAGGATCAAGTTACCGAGGAGCGTCAAGTTGTACGCTATAAGCCAAGGCCTATTGAGCATGTCCTGCCGGCACTTGGCCCGATCGAAGCTAGCCCCTCTTGATATATGAACCCTTGCATTATGTTGCCGAGTTCCTCGCCGTCTTTTCAGCCTCAATCGAGGCACCGCGTTAAGAAATGTCGAACCGCAACCGAGACGCTGGCACACTTGAGATAAGGGGTCACCATGGGCTACTTGGCTGCGTAACAGCCAGCTCACTTGGCTACCCAAGGGTGCCCATTGCGCCCATTACATGCTTAGTGATTGATGGAGGTTTATGGCCTGACAGTTCAGGCTTTGGATTGATCAGAGTTCGGCTCATCTTGGCTGCCCGTCGGATAACTTGGTGGTCAAGGTCTACTCTCTCTTTTCTCATACTCTCTTATCTTTCTTCTTCTCTTCTAGGGGCCGTCAGCTAACAATTTGGTGCCAACTTTGGCATGTCATCTAGATGGCTATCGTATCTTCCAGACATTGTTCGAGCTTCCAAACCCCAGCCCAAGCCACAATCAACCTACCCGCCTTGCCGCGGCCTGAATTCTCCGTTTATGACTTGATCCGACATACCTTGACCATAGAGTCCACCAAGTCAACCTTACTCTTCACACCTCCGCCCAGACTCGCAAGGTCAGCCGCCTTGAAGCCACGCCGCAATGATGCCGCTTCTTTCCAGACCCCCTTGACCGCGGACCCGACGCCGGCAATACCCAGAACGATGCCGAAGATGCCTGCGACGGCGTTTTCCGGGTTCTCCGCAATGTCAATCGCGCCGTACACCGCGTTGCCGGCCTCCGCCGCCAGCGTCGCGACGCGGGCGATCATGGCGATTCCCGTCACCGCCGTCAGCGCGCTACCGATGGCTGGGATGACGAAGAGGATCGCCGTGACGATCATGCCAATGATCCACTTGCGCTCGGCCTCCTCCAGCTCCTCCCCGATGTCGGCAACTTGGTTCATCGCCTCCGTCGCCGTCATGACCATGAACACCGGCAGCATGGCCCCGTCGATGACGTCTTCGGGGGAGGAGTCGGCAGGGAGATCGTTGATGTCTTTGGCTGTGTCTAGGAGGACGTCTGGAAGCTTACGGAGGTTTGAGATGGACTCCGCGACGGAGGATTTGGGATTCGGGACGTCGGCGTTCCTTTTCAGACGCGGCACGCCCGCGATAAAATACATGCCGCATGGGCCAAGATTGCAGCCGTGGCCGCTCCCGTTATCCTCTAAAGAAATTTCGACAAACTCAATGTTGTCCCAGTCAATGGTATATTCCTCTAGGATGAACTTCTTGAGCTTGTCCTCGTCCTTGACCTTAAGCACGATCTTAGTTAATAGCCCGGGGGATTTATCAAAAGGCAGGTACGCATAATCAACGAGGCTACCGCCCTATTTCCGGAAATAATTAAAATACTTATTAAAATATTTTAAAAAAAAGTTTAATATACTAAACCTCTACTATTACCATAAAGCGTCTACGAAATATTTAAACTTCTTATCATAGCCATCGTCCATAATTTAGCCGTACTCACCGACGGCCTTCTTAAGCATCTTGCCCAGAGCCCCGATGACGTATTTGTTGATGCAGTGGTTCGGGATGTTGCCTTGTCGTTGTGAACGTCGTCGATGTTGTCGTAGGTGCCGTCACATTTCGCGAGAGGCTCGGATACGTAGTCTTCGTTATAATAGTTGTCGTAAGAAGATGACTGAAGATCGACTGCCCAGTCGCTAGTGCCAGCCATATGCCACATATCGTAAAGCGCCTTGCGTGCGGTCTTGTGCTCATCCGTCATGTAAGAAACATACTCGGTATCGTTGTAAACGATGATGTCCGCCAATAGGTCGGACTTGATGTGGGTCAAGTATTGTTCCCTCATCTCTTCGATCTCGGCGTTTGCGATATAGCCCGGCTCGCCAGTGCAAATTCCGGGGGTCGCCTCGGACTTGACCCTCGTGCCTGTGAAGAGACACCACTCCGAATAGCAGTTCTTCTCCGCCATATGGAAGGACCGTCCGTAGCTTGTTATGCCCACCGCGATCTTGTTGGAAGGCATGCCGGCCTTGGTTAACATAGACAAAGCCGTTATGGTCTCTGTCATATTGATGTGGGATCGAAGGCAGTTTCCAGAAGGGCATCCGGGGGAGGTGAAGGCATTTCCATGGTCCCATTGACCGTGGAGATCGTAGGTCATGTACACCACATAGTTGACGAACGGTGCCATGACCTCTATGGGGTATGCTCGGAGATACCAGTATGATGATGGCGCCGCGAAGGAAATGCTTTTGCCTTCTGGCATGGATTTCCTTAGCCGTTTTATGAAAACAGCTAGGAGGTCTCCTTCAAGTTCACTCCCAGGCGGAGTTCCGTCGATATCCATAGCCTACTACCTGTCAGTGACGTATCCAAAGAGAAAACGGCAAACGGATCTGACCTCCGGATACTCCCAATCGAGATCAATACCGTCAAGTTCGTGCTCTTCAAGGAAGTCGACGATGTTTCTTTGAAATGTGACTTGATTTTGTAGGAGAACAGCGTTTCGCAGAATATGGACCGTGGCTGCGTCGTTGCTGAAAGCCCATCCACCTAAAGAGACAACCCTCTTCACCCCCGTAAGCTTCTTGAATCGATCGAATTCTTTCTGAATATTGGAGACGTTGATTTTGAAGTCTTCCGTCACGTTGGGAAATGCAAAATGAATATGGGTGTACTCGTCCGTAGATATTTGATCGGCACGCATGTTGAGGCAAGGTCTGTTAGCATTCCATGCCTCGAAGTAACCGATCCGTATCGGCCTCTCAGGAGCATCGCTCTTGACGATTTCGACTCCGCAATTAGAGATACCTAGCCCGTTGTCAGTTCTGCATTAGTCATGTGTGGTTTTCCCGCCGACAAGCTGGAGAGCTGGCAATGAGTCAGGGGAGAATAGTTCAACTCACACCCGTTTTCCCCTGGAGCAGCTGTCCCCGGGGCTCCGGACTCGGACTTCGATTCAGTGCAAAACTCGGCAGTCACACCGCAGTTGCCCCAAATATTACAACAGGCATTGAGAGGACATGGGTTCAAGTCGGCCAGGTCGGTGCCTCGTTTGGGTCTTTTTGTACCCGGTACCTGAGACTGATTAGCGTCTTCCCATCTGAAGGAAGCAATTAAACATGAACAGAGGCCGTAATTGTAAACTATAGGAGACGTGGAATGCATCTCCATAATCGGATAAGGCGGGAAATCCGGGGAGAACTCTTACTACTGGTCCACACTTGGCACTCTGTCATCAACGCAGTCAGTTGGGCGAACACCTCACGCGTACGTGGTTCTGGTAGATTGACTCTGAAGACTTACAGCTATCTCTGCAGGCATCGGAGGATCACCCTTGCTGAGGCAAATTTTGATATGGGCCCAGAGATTCTTGCAACCAGGGAAGTTCCAAGTCTTTTTGTTGAACTTTTCGATGTCGGACGCCTCCAGACCATGTGCTGCGGAAATGGTGGAGCATGTGTCCCCTCCATTCGTCGTATAAACGTGGCAGACACCATCTTTGCCGGGTTTAGGCCTCAAATCGGGAAGACGACCTCCAAACCATTAGTGATGGAGTACGACATAAAACAAAAGAACGGGGCATATGCACCTTTACTACAACAAACATGTTGTCCTGGCACCAGTTTGGAGCAAAGCGATTTGTCGTAGCTATTATACTTGGTGAAATCCGGAGGCGAGATGCCGCACTTGGCTGCCAGAGATGCGCACGAATCTCCAGAGACAGCCTGCCGAGTGATACAGGTTCCATCATGCCTTGATTTGGGGGTGTCTTGTGTCATTGTCTTCTTGTTGACGGACGAGGTAAAGTTGGGAGAGACGTTGAGAACGTTCCATGTGACTCCGGAATATACCTTTGGCAGGACTGTCATCACAGTATCGTCTGTCATACATTTCCCACAGGCCCATGTGATCGCAGCCTCTTGCACGAACGAGAAGTTGCCCACAGTGCTAGCTGCAACTCCCACAATGTAGTCAGCGCCGCGCTTAAAGTCGTTGTCGCAAAGCTCCATGAGCATGGAATCGGAGGCCCCGTTCTGCTGGACCTCGGCGAGGACCTTCTCGAGCAGTGTTTCATGAATACCTTGCTGGCGGGCCCGGTGTCCTGTGTAAACTCCCATCATAACATTGTCGCGAACCGAGACAAGTGCGAGAGTGGGTTGGTTTCCGTTGACTGTGGGTTTGTTGTTGACATAATTGATAATCTGCCGGCCGGCAGCCATCACATCATCCGTCAAATATGCCTCGGCCTTTTTACCGCCCAAGGCTAGACGGATGGCAGAAGTGACGAGTTGCTCGTTCGATGGACGGCTCTCAGGCGAAGCATTACCATCTCTTCTAGATGAAGGCGGCGACCTATCAAAGTCTGCTGTGCATACCCTGATGCTGGTCCTGGCGACACCATCAGGAAGATTGTTGAAGATGTTGACGCCGAATAACAACGTTTCGTTGCAAGCCTTCAGGCGATCGAGGTCGGCATAAACTGCCCACTTTTCAGGGTAGGGGCCGACATCGCTGCAAAGGGATGGGCAGCGTGACGCCTTGGCAGACGCAAAGACCTTCTGTTGTCTTTTCCAAGTGTCCAAGAGGCTGTCGAAGGTGCTGGGATGCAAAACGTCCGAGCGCGAGCGAGAGCTGTAGTCAACAGTCTTTATCGAGTCGGCGTAATTCTCTATCTGAGAAATATCCCAAGCTGTCGCCCTTTGCGTAATCGCGAGGCTCCAAAGAGCTAGGATGAAGCTGATCATGATTATGATACAGCTTTTGGGTAATCAAGAAGAGGTCGGGTTGCAAAGAAGTGAGAATTTCTATCGCTACCTATAATGGAGTGAAAGAGGACATTAGAAAGCATGCCGGCTGTTTCAATATGCCAAACTGAGCAATATATCAGGTAGAAAAACAATACCTCTCTGGATGTGGATGCGCTATATGGTTGGCAGTTGATCGAGATGCTTGCAATTGGATGCTATAGCTTCCGCTTTCATCAATGTCGGTGTCCAACAACTCTCGCCTCGTACGCCATTGTGTTCCTAGGCAGACTCACATGATGTCCAACAAGACCAAGCAATTTCACGCGAACTGAGACGTAGACTTACCATATACACCCAAGGCGGAGACGGGCAACTACCTGTAACATTGAGTTCTTCGTGTGAGGATGTCCAAGATCACCAGGTGTAAGCCGTTCACGGGCGCCTACAGGATGCACCAAACACGAGTGCACCACATTGCCCCGTCTTCGGGCAACGGAAAAGTAATACCTGTGTTCTTGAGTCAGGTGAACACCTCCGTCTATTATGCCACGCAACTGGGCAGCGGTCCCACTCTGCCCCTATTGCTTGAGACAGAAGAGGTTCAACTGGCATCTTTGCCTTGCTTCAAGCCAACCGATCTGATACAAAATGAAGCTGTTCCTTACCCGGTTCTTCCATCGGTTTTCTCCAATTGTCACCAGTTGCAAACTCTGTATGCATTGTTGTTCCGGATATGAAGATCATCTACTTGCTCGTGCTGCTGTTTGCTGCACTCGGCGGTAGCGTCAAGAGCGACTCGGCAAGAATTCACATCGTGGAAAAGTTCTACTTCTATTTTAACTACAAGATCGAAGGAATCGTTGGCGGTGAGAGGACGTTTGCTCCGAATTGTGAGAACTGTGATTTCAAAAAGGTATATTTCGATTTCACAAATCTCTCGAGGTGACGTGCTAACGCTCACGGAGTTTGTTGATCACATCATAACCAAGACCGGCAAAAACGATTTGAAGTTCGAAGAACCAAGCACAGATACAAAGGAAATGAGAAAACTCGTCACACAGTTAGTGAAACCGCCTCATCAGCAGAATGCGAGGAAACAGGTCAACATCCGTGATCTCATGCCCTCCGTCTCCGAGAAATCGGCTGAGCCATACAAGGAGCTCTACCAGAAGACACAAGCCTGGATCAACAGTGTCAAGAAGAAAATCGATGTTCTCGATGCTGATCGCAAGAAGGAAGCGAATAGATTGATGGACGCTGCCAAGATTGCGGTCGAAGATATGGCGGCGATGCGGACGGCCGGCTACAAGAATGCTAAGTATGAAGCTTTTTACGACAGGTTTCGAGGGAAAAAGAATGATGCCGGCAAGAAATACCGCGTCGATCTCTACCTGAAGAAGATTAAGCCTGAGAACAACGGGGGAGTGTCTAACTATAAGGAGATTGATAGGAAAAGCTGCGTCAAGAGGGAACTGGTGCTGCACTGGAGATGATTGAATGGATGGATGACTGGGATGTGAATGATGTTGACACGGCTCAACATCTTGTCTCGAAGAGTTTAGTGGATGATCTGAAAAGTTGCTACTAGTAGAATCGTCTTATAGGTGACACTAAGCGGGCGTGTTACGTTACAGCCTCATGTAGTTGCGTTCCCAAGTCGTAGTCCCAGGCAAAGCGAATGTGGAGAATTTCCAGATCGCTCAGGTGTGGCGTCGTCCAGTAGAATTGCCTCCTTAACGATAGAATAAATAGGTTCTTAAGCCGGATGTCATCCTTCTGTCTTCCCTTCTCTCATTACCATCTCCATCCCTGTTACATTCATTGTACCCACCTTGCCGAGTTCAAAATGACTGACCGCAAATCCATAATACGATTGGCCTCACCAAAGACCTTCTCGCAGGATCCTCGACATGAGCAGATGCGCACCAGAGTGCGACCAGCATTTCGCGTCTTTTCTCATCGCAAAAGAGACTCAAGTCGCCTTCTCAATCTGCCAGATGAGATACTGTGGCGAATCACCGAGTTCATCGCCGACCAAGAAAGAGGCCATTTCTTGTCCTTCTTCGCTCTGGCTCATCGCGAATGCCGGCAACTTGCTCGACCACATCAATTTTCTGACGTCTGGATTACTCGGAGTGAGACATCCTGGGAGTTTCTCCGTCATATCAAGCGAGAGACCGAAGATGAAGGGCCAGCTATCGGGACATTCATCCGTTCCCTCACCATCACAGTTGACGAGGACCTATGTCTCGACTACGGGTGCGCCACGGATGACGAATACGAACAGTGGCGCGAGTACTGGCAGGGTTTGATCGATGATTTGACCCAGGTCCTAGAATCCAGGTCCGCTATGCCTAATCTTGAGCGGGTGTTTTGGATGGATACAGGAGGGCTCGAAGTGCAACCACGTCTGCTCCGAGTTATATTACAAAAGGCCTGTCCTTCTCTCTCTGGATGCCTGAGCGAGCTTCACTTCGCCGACTACAAGTTCCTCTTCGAAGAAATTTATGATGTTGCGCCGTCTATGCCTGCGACTCCTTCATTGTCCGTGCGCTCGCTGTCGTTCGGATACGACAAGAATCATACATCGATAACAGGTGCTCTAGACGGCTGCACTACATACCTGGCCGAGAATATTCTCCGTCGTTCTGCGCTCACACTCGAGTCCTTCGTCTGGAATGCTCAATTCAAAGGTGAAATGGCCCCTGAAGACAACGACGGTACAAATTCCCTGCTGTTCTTCCGGGATGGCCCCATTACTTTCAACCAATTACGGAAGTTCTGGTGCTCCCTCACGCCGGATGAGGGCATACAACCAAGTGTTCTCGAGAGCTTTCTGGCCGCCCCTCTGCTCGAGAACTTCTCACCCTCAACTCACGTATCATCCTTGATATTGGCCAACGGACTGGTAGAAAAGTTCCCGCTCCCCAACCTCCGCACATTCGCTGTATACGGCCACTCAGCTGCCATGTCCAAAAACGAGGTGCCGGCCTACGTCGACACGGTGTTGGCTCTAGCTGGCCGCTACGCCCCGCAGATTGAGGAGGTTTTCGTCTACCTCCAGGGAAACCCGGAACAGTTGGCTACTCACTTTGCAACCCACAACTTCCGCAACCTCAGGTCCTTGTGCTTTTCGTGGCCGCATGACCCAGACTTTGTCGTTCTCCAGGCCATCGGAACGCATCTCACCACCCTCGAGGAGCTGTCCTTTGGGTTCCAGCCCGCCGACGACCGTACCGGATGCGAGGACAACACATGGGACAGCTCGAGTCTACTCTCTCATGAAGCCATCATTGCGGCCATCTCACCTCTAAAGAGCCTGGTCAGGCTATGTGTTTTCGGGGACGAGTACGTGGCGGATTGGAGCGGCGATCATTGGGCGTGGCATCGCTTCTTCAAGCAACATGTTGACTTCCATCAAGGGCGCAGCTACACTGTCAGAAAACAGGGACATCGCCCGGGAGAGGGACAACTCTGGTCTGAGGCAATCCGAGGACATAAGACACCAGGTGACCAAGGGAATGATTGGATTACGCGTTGGGTAGCAAACGAAGCTGAGGATACGTATGCTGCGATGCTGATGCTTGCTGCACGATACGCTTCTGCTCTCCCGAAGCTACAAGATTTTATTGGTGGAAGGGTTTTGATAGAGATTGCAAATAGTGCACAGTAAAGGCGATTATAGTCTTGTCCCTTGATCCAAATTCAACTACCTTACGTTACTTGACCCCAGAAGGCAAGCCTTCGCCTTTGTTCAATATTAATTAAAGACTAGTTCTTACGCTTTTGTTGTGATTCATCGTAACTCGTTGAGTAGACTACGAAGTTTCTATACTCCCATCCTTCGTTCCGCAGTAGCCATATGCCCAATCGCCAATATTCTCAACCAGATCTTATCGTCTGGCCGAGCTCCTCTCTCAACATGCGGCAGGCAGCAGAACTTCTTCCTCTCTTCGCTTACCGTCAAAGTCATCCAAAAAGCCTTATCTAGAAGAATGTCCTCGCGCATCTCCTTGGACGCCATAAGTCAAACAGTGGGTCGTCGGAATCAGCTTGAGCGAATAGTCTCAATGCGAGAGTCTGATGCTCCGATATTTTGGTACATCTATCATCAGTCTTTCCACTTCACGAGATCCTGACTTGTTCCTGTCGATCCCCCACACCTTGGTCAACCCCCCCCCCCCCCGGCAGAAGACGATATGTTTATTAAATACCGAGGTTCCTGTCCAGGAGATAGATATGCCTTCCTCGTCTTAACTCAGAGCTTGTTGCCTAGTAGTTGGCCCACACTCGTCCTCTGGGTCGACCTTCACTTTGAAGCCAAACGGTCTGTTACCAGCAATCGAGGCAAAACCCAAAAGGAATATGCAGCACTTGCAGGCTCTCCTCTGAACCATCGTTGAAGACCTCTCTTGGGCGCAACCAAGCATGAGATCGTCGGCCAATCTTTCCTGCGGGATGCTTGCCGTCGTGTAAAAGTAAGTACCTGGCATATTCCTCTTAGACATGGAATCGATCGCACCACCACCATTCACTTTCAGCACGAAGGGATTTCGGATTCTGTTTTCAGGCCTACGATAAGATCAAATTGATTGGAAATAGCTGCTAGCACCACTTCAACAGTCATGTCTGTCAAGTCGACTACCAGCGACACCACCAACGGCGCGCACAAAATTCCACATCACTAAATGGTATAGCAGTGAGTCCACTCCACTAACTTACAGCAAGTCAAAAACAAACGGTCCTGCGAGTTACAGACGCGCGGGATGAAGTGCCCATACAGATATCCCCGGTTCATGAACAGCTTCTGGGCGTTGCAGTATCATGTTGCGTCTATCTCAAGATTCAACCAGGGAACAAAGCCAGCTACAACAGCACTGCCTGCACTCCTGCATACGAAAATCACCTTTTCACTTTTGATTCTGTTCGATTTGAACTTTCTATCCAGTGCCCGGTAACACAGTGTCCAAGTTAGACTTCTGGGTAGTCTATTTTGTCAAACTTATTGCTGTGACGCACTCGTTTGGTTTGCCCCCAATACAATTAAGTCATCCACTCCAGTAGTCGCCAAGCTCGATGCGCATATGCTTGGCCCTATTATGAACGTTCCAAAACTTTGAATAGGACACGTCAGTAGGGAAACCGTACGGTTGGCACGAAAGGTTAATAAAGCGGTATTGATTGTTGGATATAGAGGTGGAAGAAGGAGGAAGCAGGCAGAGCGCATAATTATTCAGGAGTGGCCTGTAAATGGAAGGGCGGTTTTTATGGTCCAGATCGACTTCCATACTCATCCTCTCTGTCGATTGCCCAGAAGTCAACGGCAATAAATGTTCCCACGGCATGTCGTCCACAGGACTGGTGAATACTGTCATACGCCGGACATCTCGAGCTTACAGTTAGAATGCTCCAGTCTGCTGATGAGAATAGTGACTCGAATCTTGGCGGATCTTCTTCGTACATCGTTTTCAAGGCAGCTTTCCAAATATTAAAATAATAAAAGGGCCTGACGATGATGACTTCTGGTGCTGTATCTCTAAGAACATTGTTCGCATTGTTCTCAAACTTAAGTTTGCCCTTGATATACGGTCAGTGACTTCTGTGTCGTCAGTCTTGCCCCAGTCAACGCTCATGCCTCTCCGGATCATACTGAGCACCGTAGAAAATTGGATGGCCAAACCTTGACAGTCGTGGACATACCCACGGCATTTGCGACAAAGGCCGCCGTTCTCTGGGCAATGCCCCTACCTAGGTCTGCTCCATCCTAAGTTGGCCGAGGAAAATAAACCACGGCATATGAATTGGCGCAATCGAAACTTTCCCCAGTGACTGATATCTCTCTAGACTTTTAGAAAGTTGAAAAAATTGGTAAATCCAGAGGGCGCTTTGTCGATATTTCGAAAGAGCCCACTAACAAAAGGTTCATGTTCGAATTGTAGGAGGAACCAAATAGCTTCCTTACCATTGCCAATACTCTACTAGTCGTGAAATAAGATTCTTAGAATCATTATAGTCTAATTAGGGGAAGTCGCCATAAGCGATACCGTGGCTCGTTGAAAGACCCTGCGTATGAAAGCGGACCAGGGAATAGCGGTCTTGGGCTCAGCGGAGCCGCTGATGAAAGCGTTCCTTGGCCATGAGAAATGATGTCTAGCCTACCGTTGGAGTCGACATTAAGTAAGCATGAGAAAGATATCGTGTGCGGAGTAAAAGTATGCTTTGGTTTAGAAGGCATGACAGTGGCCTGAATGCGAAGAGTTCGGATGCGGCCGCTCTCGTCTCATTCACCACGACCCTATCAGTACGCTCCGACTCGGAGTTCAGACTACAGGCGAATTCTTGGAGAAGCCGCATGCGGAGTTGCAGGGGTGGCGCTCACGTTTGCACAACTTTGAACGCCCATACATACTACGAAGTCTAGATTCGCGGATCCCTGCTTAGAGAACTTGAAGGTTCGATCATATTCATTGGCTTCAATCCGAACTGGCCATCCACAGCTTACTGTCCACACCGCATTATTCTGATCTCGAGCCAATAGAATCACGGCCGTGAGTTCATGGATTAGGGAATGTGAGAGTTTCTTCGGAAAAGAATCCGCCCATCAGCTTGTTGAGGGTTGCCAACCCCTGCACTGCTGCCTGAAAAGCGCGTGAGAGAATCGCCAAATCGGGCAGGACAGGAACGTCTGTATCTCAACTAATAATGAGGGTGATGTCTGTTTAAAAGCTTTCGGAACGCCACAAATCGATAAGTACCATCTGTTCTTTACCAATGCTGCACTTTTAAAACCCCATCTAAAAGATATGGCTAGATACATCGCAGCACACCGAAATCCCCAGGGTCCGGGAGATTCACGACCCGTCGCCTTGCAAATCATCGAAGACGAAGGCCTTGCTGGTGATGGGCTGTCTGGAAAGACCGCACTTGTGACAGGAGCGAACAGGGGCATCGGCCTCGAAACAGCGCGGGCTCTACACGCAGCCGGCGCAACAGTCTACCTGGGTGTCAGAGACCTCAAATGTGGCGAAGAGGCTGTGAAGGATATCATCGCGACTTCACCTACAGACATCGGTGCACCAATTCAACTGCTTGAGTTGTCTCTCGACTCCCTCGCCTTTGTGCGTAACGCGGCGCAAACGTTTCTCGCAAAGAACAACAACAAAATCAACATACTTGTCCTCAACGCAGGAGTCATGGCGTGCCCCAAGGGTAGCACCATCGACGGGTTCGAGACACATCTCGCGACGAACCATCTTGGTCATTTTCTTCTCTTTAGGCTACTACAGCCAGCACTACTGGCCTCTTCATCACCTTCCTTCAACTCTCGCGTCGTCTCCGTCACTTCGTCCCTTCATCGACTCGGCCCGATCGATTTCAACGACTTCAACTATGACAACCTACCATATCACAAGCTCAAAGCCTACGCAAGATCTAAAACGGCCAACATTTACTTGGCCAACGAGATTGAGCGTCGGATCGGGGATAAGGGACTGCATGCCATTTCTGTGCATCCAGGCAGCGTGTTGACCATGATTTCCCGGCACATGGAAGATGACCCGCTCAAGATGCCTGAAGGGGACTGGGAAGAGATTCGGTATCTAAGGAACGCGGCCCAGGGAGCTGCAACAAGTGTGCTGGCGGCGGTCGGTGCTGAATGGGAAGGGAGGGGAGGGTGTTATCTTGCTGATTGTGTGGAGCAAGGTCTGGCGGTTGATCCATCTTCTCAGACCGATATGGGATACGCATCATGGGCTTTTGATGAACAAGGAGCAAACATATTGTGGGAGGAGTCCTGCAGAATGATTGGACTTGAGGACGGCATATAAGTCCTGTATAAGATACAATAGCTCACATTTGGATTTGTATTGACATTCGCGATAGTTTTCCTCATTCGAGAAGTTTCATGTTGAGCTGTTTCCGTGTTCTCACTGCTAGTCTCCTGTGCGCAATTCCCATACACCCTTTTTATTCCCTGCTACTTATCCACGATTCCCATGGCGATGCCCAGGCATAAGATTGCACACTTGAAATGGCAGCCAGAGAGTACCCAAAGTGAATCTGCTGCGAACGGAGCACCAAGTACCGCTTCTTTCAAAGTAGTGGGGGTTGATACGTGTCTCAACTAGTAGGGTACTACCCTCTGAATTGCTCTTTGTGTGAGAAGGCTGCAAATACAAACCTGCGATCGTTTGTCTGGTATGTGAAATCCTCGTATGAAAGCAATACTTGATGGGATCTACATCAAAAGACTCCACGAACAAGGTGATAGGTTGCCCCGAAACCCGGCAGTTGTGAGGGCAAGCCGAGGTAGATAATCGCCCGTAGTCCGCTAAGCAGACAGCTGTGCGCTATTTGGTAAGTTTAAGACCCTCGTAGTCTAGCGGTCGGACATAGCATCTTTCGGGCGTAGAGGTCTACACCGTTACTATCGCTCCCCGCAGCGTGAGTAGACATTTAGATGTGCAGATCAGACATGAAATGAAGAGGAAGAGGTTTCACACGCGTAACAAACTTACAAGGTAGCCACAATGCTGTCCAAGTCCGGGTCCTACGAGTCCCTCCCCATGCTGCCCTTCATAATGCTGATAAGTGCCGCCGCAGCGTGAATGGCTAGAGGTGTTGTGGTTGACGGTCTTTGAACTGCTGATCAGAGGCGGGTACTTGCGGTTGATAGATACATGATACCGTCGTCACTCTTAGGGTTAGTAGGGCGAAGTTGAAGATCCAGGCACCAATAGTCGCAATGCCCATCCCTGTTGCTCTTGTTCCCAACGACCAGACTTCAGCAGAAACACCATACGTCACGGGCGCCAGAGTAAAGTAGTACACCGTAATGAGAAAATAAGAGAAGGCGATGATGACGTGAGATGGTCGTCCAACAACTTTGACAAGGACATTATGCTTGATGCGATAAGGTTGATTTTGCCAGTCAAGTTGGCCATTTGGAAGGGATAGACGACGTAGTATGTTATAACGTTCTGACTCAATCGTGAGTACCCCCTGGTGTAGAAATCAACACCAAAGCATGGTAGGAAGTCTCGTTCTTCTTCTCATCGGACCCACGATGTCGCATGGGCGCCGGAACGCCATGCAATCTGTCAGGATACAGTGGACATGGAGTAATATGAGTACTTGCCGCTCCTGCCATTTGCTGCCAGGCTTGAACCATAAAACCAACCAGTGTCCGCCTCTGCATGCCATTACTGACACACTTGCGCCATCCGCGCCCTACCTCGCGTTCTACGTGCAAGGTGTTTTGGATTTCTTCCGAGTCGGCCAAGACCGCAGGATCATCGATACTCCCCCCGGATTGGACGTTGGCGAGTACAATAAGTGCCTCGTTCGTTCTGTCTTTCGACAACAGCCAGCGTGGGGACTCGGGAAGAAACAGCAAACCGACCATCAACAGGGCGCAGGGAACAAACTGCGCCGCCCACGTAGTCCGAAACGATGCCGGGCCCGGGATGAAGCTGCAACGGGCTCAGATACTAGGTAGATTAAGACTACGAGACGGGACCCCGAGGTCAGAGATGAAGTCAGATGATCAACTTCTTTAGATCGTATTTCCTTGAGTTCAGATTAATTCGAGTAGTCATGAGGATATAGGCTTATTCGGTTTCAATATCCAGATGCATGACAGATACAGGGCTTCACTTGTCTTGGGTGTTGATAGTTGTGAACTTGCCTTTACGACGGTTGAGTTGAGCCGAGAACTGAGGAACGAGGGCCTTGCTCTGGATGATAACCTCATTGTCTTTAGCGTAGAACTTTCCTTGACGACTATTTGTTGATATGGATTTGAGGTGAGAGTTGACTTTGTGCTTTCGGTGACGAATGATCGCTGAAACGGAGGATGCCTCCGGAAGAACCGATTTCTCTGTTGCTCATGTGCTGTTTTGCGCTATTCGAAACCCGAGACTACAGGCCACCTCCGGTTTCTGGCCAGATGAGCAAGACAGGAGCCAGTTGTCAGATCATCAGGCCGTGAGGTATTGCCACTAGTTTTCTTCGTGGTCAGCATCCGTCATCCTCCGTCCTGATTGCAGGGCATTTAAGCTCTCGCCGCTGTGGTCAGGTTCCTGAACGTCTCAGACTGGCCGTCTCCAAGTGCTCCCGTTGATACCTTTGGTTGCACGCAACAACTGATACTTTAAGATGAAGGGCTGATGAAGACGTAGACCGCCTCCCAAGGCTGGACTTGCTTGTCATATTGCAAATACATGTCGAGAGTTCACACAGAGCAGCCCTCTACAGCGATGATGAACAATGGGTCTGAAACATCTCTAGCTTGTGTTGGCAACCTCATCGGGGCTGTTTGTCTCGTAAAGATGGCTAGCTACTACGAATAAAAAACAGCAATTAGAGTCATGACATGTGAGACAACTGATTCGACGGTCCATGTTTCGTGACGAGCGGTGAAGCCTTGGTTGGTAGAAGATATTGCCCACTTTATCAGTATCTCATAGCTTGGACCAGACGGCGCGGTTCCTTCTCGGTTTTGGACGTGCTTGTTCCCTGACATCGATGAGAAACTATCGGAATGAAAGAGATGTCACGACGACCTTTCGGCAGGGTAGAATAGATGAGGAGACTCTTCGAGAACCTTCGATAGAGCTTATATGAAAGAAGCGGTAATTTTCTTTCATGAACGACGCGTGGAATCGGCGAGCGTTGGATGCTTCGTCACGTGCCACTCAATAGATCGCCGCATGGAGGTGGCCCTCAGGCTGACCGCTGACTTCGAGCGGGCAAAATTAGCGAATGCCTGCTGCATGTAGGTGATTGCACATGTCCAAACTGTGAGGTGAGGTGTCCGTTGGTCGGCTGGCTACAGCAGCACATTATCACACTACCCATCAAGGCCCGCTAGGGTGCTTGTGAAGTACTGAAGCTTCAGAAAACCGATTCTTTCTTTTTTATATACATGTACTCTTGGTGTATGCAAGGCAGGGAGCCAACTCTGGAGCTGGCACTAGATGTGACCACATAGGAGCGAGGCGCCAGGCCACCACGATTCCACCTCTGGACATGTTATTCAATCAGAAAGGTGAGGCTTGACGAGGGAAGACATCGTGGGCTAATATTCTCAAGGGCAACTGGTAGTATTGGAAACAGGCCATCATGGTGCTAGTCGCTTTGTAGCTGCTCGAAAGGTAGACAGGATTACATGCCTCTTACCAGTGCCTGTCGCTATGTAATGCTCAACTCCTGATAGGATGCACATCGAGAATGATCCCACTGGATAATGAACACAGACTCGAGTGATACCTCGACAATAACTTATGGATTGTGACTTTGCAATCATTCCCTCCATTCCTCAGGCCTTGTCTCTGGATAAAACCGATTCTTCATCGTCGCGTAACCACCAAAATGTCCCTGTCTACGCCTCGCCCAATCTCAATCTCCAGCCCATGTTCAATACTCGATAGCCTTTGTCTTATGAATCGGGCAACGACGATGTATGCTACGCATATCGTGAAGGGGTTGTAGTCATCATTCGTGCTGGCCTTGAGATTGCCCTCCGTGAGAAAGGCAGCCGCCACTTCTGTGGCGGATCGCAAGCTGAGCATGGCACTGAGCTCGAGGTTACTCGCTGGCTTGGAACGGGCAACCGAAGAGCCAACCGGATGTTCAAGGGGGATATTGATGAGAATGCTCCTGACAGCAGCTTGTAGATGATTACGTCTGTCCATCTCTTTCCTCCTCTCGCGCCTCTCGCACTCCATCTGAACAGCATTTTGCAGGAGTTTACCATGGCTCACGTGAGTCAGACCGAGGGCTGATGTTATGCACAATGTCTCCCACCGACGCGCCTCAGCTTGGTGAAGTTGTCGTAATCTCGTCATTGACTGATCGAAAAAGTCGCTTGGTTTAAGCAGAGATTGATAGGAAAATTGACGGTCCCATACTTCAAGTGCCAATCGAGCCAGGGCTGTCGAGCGATCACTTGTAGTCTCTCCGAGTTCGTCAAGGTACCCAGCCTCCTTGGGTGAGAGAGCAGCCTCTGTGGAGGTCAGCAAACACTGGAGGAAATGAAGTCGGTGCGCATCCAGTGTCTTCGACGTCACATCTGTCGGCATGCTCGTCCCAGTTCCCGAAACCTGATATGCAAACAACAGTGTGAAGAGTCCGCAATCGATGTTGTTATTTTGGCGAGCACACTGGTTGTATGTCAGTACCTCAATTGGGTCCAAGCATGATTGAAAGGGTACTTACTCCGCTCACATCCAAGTCAACTTGAACGTCGTCGCTCGCTCCAATCCGACGGAGGAACGGCAAGATCACGTCACGGCAAACTTTCTCGGCATGCAGAACGCCTGGACAGGAATCGAAGAGGCGAACCTTGTGTTCCTGGCAGAAAAAGACGAACAATACCCAGTGGTCGTCATTGCACACCGGCATGAGTAACTTGTGTTGCTCTCCATGTTGGATCTCATTGTAGACACGATCGGGTATGTTCTTCGAGTCAAGGACGAAACTGTCGATTGCCAAGACCTTTCCAGTAACTGAGGTCAAACGATTGAGGAGGGCATTGATGATAGTGTCGTTGAGCTTTTGTCCTGGAAGAAGACGGTGCATATCGCCCGAGATCTTCGGGATGGAACAGCGGTACTTGAGCCTTGAGGACCTCCTTTCAAGATTGGCTTCGATTGTAGCGTCAGCTGGGGATGTTTTTAGAGGGGGCAAAACAGGGGATTCTTCGCTTTTGATGGTTATCAAGACGGGACTGGAGGGCAGATCTGATCGAGCAGGGGGTAAAAAAGTAGGTTCCTCCATCATAGGAGTTGCTGCTCCATCTCTTTCAAGAGGTGGAACACTCACATCGCCAAAACTGCCGTTGCTGACATCCCAGTCTCGGTGCCTGGCTTCACCGAGTCGAGCACGCTTGCGTTGGGGAGGAATTGGTGTGTCTTGATTCCGTGGACCAAAACGCGACGGTGTCAATTGAGGGAGAGGTGCAGCCCGAGGTATTGACTGGTGCACAAGGGAGTTATCGTCACCGTCATCCTCAGCATCGTGTGTAGATGGGCCCGCTTGTAGAGAAGAATTGTGGAGTCCAGAATTGTTTTTGGATTGAAAGACAAGCACAGGTCCCTTTGGTGCAACAGTCGAAGCCTGGCACTCCCTTCTGGATTGCTCTGGGGATGGGGTTGCATCGACGTGTTGGGCTGCCGGAGATCGCTTTCGTGTCAATGGAGGACTCGATCGTTTGTCGCGTGTCGATCTGGTGTTGCTGAAGGGGGGCTCAGCAGGAAGAGATCGACGGGCGTCTTGTTTTTTCTTGCCGCCATCGTTGGATGTGTGTTCGTTGAGGTTGGAGTTGTCGGCAAGGTCATTGTCCGAGTCACCGCTGTTGCTACTCAAATCGCTTTCGGGAGGCGGGCGATCTTTGGCGTACCGTTGCTGACGCATCACGAGAGTAGGTTCAACTGGAAAGAGAGCAAAAGTGTGAGCAAAAGCTGCCGGAATGCGATGTGCGAATGACGTACACTCTCCCACAGCGAGTTTGAACACGCTGACTTGGTTCTTTACCGAGCGAAGGCCGTATCGGTGGTCGTTGTTTCTTGGTATGCGGTTGAAACAATCGATAAAGTCGCCAAGGGAAAGCTGCGGGGAGGTCCCTCGTAACTTTTTCAGAAGATCAATGCACCTTCGAGATCTTGTAATCTCCTGACCAAAACAAGCGAAAAAGAGGCCGGGTGAAGCATCCCAGTGCGGGCACAGGTTGGCCAGACGACGTTGAATATCCGTTGTGATTAGTTGGAGATCGTCTTTGTGCTTCTTGTCAAGTATTCGGCAGAGTGTTTGACGATCGACGTTTTGGAACGCCCAAAAAATGAACTTGGTGTCCCTAGTTATGGTAGCGTCATTGGTGTTGTTGAAGTTGGCCTGTAGGTCGTGCCATAAGCGGTCAACATGCTGCTCAATCTCAGCAATCTGGATATTGTTGAGCTCATTCAGTGTTCTAAGAAGGGGTGGCGTGTCAGAAGTGCCTCGGTCGGCGGCGGGGAGGTCTGTATCGTTGGTGTTTGTCATACCGGTGGTTCATTGAATAGAAAAGATTGATTGACTGACGAATGCCGAAAAGGCGAAATGGTCTTGTTTAGAAACGAAGGGGCGCGCGAGGGGTGGGGGATGAGGTCGTGAAGCTCATAAGGAAGTCAAAAGAGATGGAGGAGAAGAAAAAGAGTGTGAGGAAGAAGAAGCGTCTGGGAAAGGGAAAGGATTTGAGAGGAAGGAGGGAGAGCGAGAAGAAGGAAGAAACGTCCAAGGAAGGGAGGCGGAAGTCAAGTTGAAAGAAGTAGAATAGAAAGAAGTGAAGTGGGAAGAAGTCAGTTAGGAAGGAAGGCGGAAGGGAAAGGGCGGAAGGGAAAAGGCGGAAGGAAGAAAGGCAGGAAGAAAGAAAGGTAGGAAGGAAGTATGGAAGGTGGGAGACAAATGAATTAATCCCAAAGCAAGTGAAGTGGAGGAAGGAACGCTGGAAAAGACTGGTGCGGATGGTGGAGGCAATGTCCAGGCAGAAGGTGGAAGGAGGATGCGGATGGCAGAAGTTGTAAGAGCTGCCGACTCCAAAAGCTCCTGGGCACACGGTTGAACTTGGCCAGCTCCAAAAGCTGCCGGGGTGCACGGTTGGATTTGGCCAACTCCAAAGGCTGCCGCCATGTACGGTTGAATTTGGAGTTTGGCGGCAACGCCCCGCAGAATTAGCTCAGTGTGAAGTTTTTAGTGGGTGGCCACCCGCTAATTCTCGCTCGTAACATTGACTAGTAGGTAGCCAATGTAATTGGAAGCCCGTCGCAGGTCAACCTCGATACCAAAGCCAGTCGATGTACTTGGCCGGGACACTACGCCGAATTGATCCATGTCATTGGAAGTATGGCAGTTTTGGACGATGCAATACCAGTGGCCTACGTGGGTACGTCTAGAGGGGAGTGGCGGAGGAGCGTTTGGGCTTAGACCGGGCAGATAATAGTAACGATGCCGGTCGGAACGCTGGTTGGAATGGCAAGAGGCTTTGCGTCCTGGATGGGCGATCTGAAAATGCTCAAATCCCGATGACGAGGTCCAGCAACCATCAATATAGCCGTCGCGGCGATTGGAGAAGAAAGGAAAAAGAGGGCTGGAGTGAAGTATAGACTGCGGCGACTGACTGTGTTGACAAGGGGAGGTAGTAAACAGAACAGTTGAATGATGTGGTTGAGACGCGAAGAGACGACGGGAGGACCTGATGTGGGCAGGCGGGAGACGGGCGATGGGAGACGGGGGTGTGTGTGGGGCAACCTAAATTCAACATCCCGTCCTCCAATCCGCCACATGAGTTACCTCAGCCATCTCACGGGAAGGTACTCGGGTAGGTACTTACTTACCTTGCCTGAGTGGGTGACCACCTTCCTTCCTCATTATGTCTTGATTGTCACATGTTCCTGCGGGTTTAGCCACAATGACGCGACCTGCTGGATTCTGAAGAACCAATGGTGGAAGGCACGCATATGCCTGCTCATATCTTGCGTGTCCATGCCCGTACCTGCGCCTTTGGGTTTCCCGGGCGAGGTAAGGTACATTGAGGTACGGAATTCGTGGTTGCGGATGCCTTCCCACCTTACCTACCTTACCTTTCTCCACACCCTTCTCCTCCTCCCTCTTGCTCTCTATCCTGTCTTCAAATTTTCCCCCTCCAAGGCAAAAGGTTCACTTCCGCTGTGCCTTACGTTTCTTCCTGTGCCAATTCATCTTTTGCTCCTGCTTCTATTGTCACCAACGAGCTGCTGAGTGGCACCAAAACGAAGCTGGCACTTACAGCTGAGGTATCTTACGCTACCTCCCGTCGGCTGCATACCTTACGTAACCCACGTCCTGCGCAAAAGTCACCGCCGCCAACTCAAAGTCGCATTGCATTACCAATCGCTTACTGCTACTACCTTCCAACGACCGTCGAAACTCTCCACCATTCTATACAGATCCCCATTTCTCGATAGTTTAGTCTACTTCACTCTTCATCGTCTTGCTTCCATGCCACTTCCTTCGTTTCATGTCATCGCATAGCATCTCGTAGCAATACACCCATAATTGTCGATTGTTAGTATCCTTATTATAGGGTAGTTAGTTCGAACCGTAGGTTAACGAAGAGATTAATTAAACTATATAAATTTTTATATAAGTATAAAAAGGAGGTTCTAATTATAAGTTAAGCTAACTACGATAATCGTAAATAAGGCCTTTAATTAGCCCCTACGTAGTTAGTTATATATTATAATTAAATTAGATTTCTAATTTAATATTAACTTTTTTTTTATTAATTTATTTATTATAATTAGAGGTATAATTTAACCTCGGGCCCGTTTACTAAGTCGTTTCTTTTTCCCTCTTTTTTCTACTTTTTTTATATAACTTATCTTTTTATTTATATATTAATTTTTTTATTACTTACGAATTACTCTAACCCCTTATTAAGTACTATTTTTATAAAAGCGTTAGTAAGGTTATTATTATTATTAATTTAATAAATTTTAAAAATCTCGCGCCTTTTATATAATTATTTAAGGGCTATAATATTAATTATAAGCTTTTTTTTTTTTATTATTTTTAATTTAACGAGATATTTATATAATAAGTAGGAATTAGTATAAATAACTATAGGGATTAGTAAAAGGTTAAGTTAATTAGTAATTTTCCTTAGCGTTATTAAAATCGCATAAGTAAGGTTAATATTATTAACTATATTATATATTTTTAATATTAATATACTTCTTATTATTCGCTTATTTTTAGTTAATAAGTAGTAGATTATATTACTATATATAGTAAATTCGCTCTTATTTATACTCTTATTAATTAGGATAATAATATATTCTAATTATAAAATAAAATCGTCGTTATTTATAAATAACTTATTAATAAAAACGTAGAGCTTATTAATAATAAGGTTAATTAAGTAATAAACGAGGCCTTAATTAAGATTTAATTATTATTATTTAAGTTATTTATTAAGTACTTTAATATCTCGTTTATTTAGCTTCATAACTAACGCTACTTTTATATAATTAAAAATTATTTCGGGCTAATAAATACTCGTAATATATACCCCTTATATAAGCTTAGTTTTATATTATTTTTTAATATTAATTATATTTAGGTTAACGAGGTTAATTTTCTTATCTTACCCTTTTTATTAAAAAACGACGGTTTCCTTTTTAATTATAAAAATCTTATTATTAAATACTAATAAGTTATTTATTATAAAGACCTCTTTTAGCTTTATTATAAAACCCGCTTTTTAAAGCTCCTTATCCTCTTTTTTTATAAAATTAATATTAAATAGGCTTAATATATTATTAGTTTATATTTTAACGATTTTAAATTATTTATTTTTATACTTAGAGATTAATAAGTACGGGTCGTACGTAAATATAATTATTAATAATTAATTAATATAAAAATCGTAGTATATAGCTTATTAATAAGTACCCGATTTTACGAGCTTATATAATAATTTAAGTATTTTAATAATCGTACTTTCTAAGTACTTATTAGCTATTTTTTTTAGTAAGTAGGCTAGGATTTTCTTTATAAGCCTTATAGTTAATTAAGTATAGGCCTAAGTAATATTACGGCTCTAAATTTCGTATCCTTTTTTCTATAATAATACTATTAGTACTATTATTAATTATTAACTATAGCGCTATACTATAAGTAATTAGGTAAGTAGCGTTACTTTTTTAATATTACCGTACCCCTAAATTATATACTTAAATTTCTTATATAGTTAAGGTATTCCTTTTTTTTTAATTTTATATATTATTTACGATTTAAATATATAGAGATTTTTATATTTTTCGGGGTCGTAGAGGATAAATTAATAGACCCCTCGATTGCGCAAAATATTTATTTTAATAAGATTTAATTTTTTATATAGCTTTTTAATAATTATAATAATACTTTCTTTATATAATTTAATTATTAATTCGAAATTGGCTTTTTTTTTTATTATATAAAAAGTATTAAATACTTTGTTATTAATAATAAATTGCTACGTTAGGGCTTATTATTATAGTTTTTTATAACGTCTCGCTAGTAATATTAATACCTTTTTAATAATTTCCTTTTTTTTATTATTTATTAGTACTACTATAATAATTTTATTAAGGATAATTTTTTATACCTCTACTACGGGTTATACGGTTTCTTTTAGCTCTTTTTTTTTTTATAAGTTAGAAATTACTTTAATAAGATTTATATAATATAATTTAATTATAGTAATTAATATTTTAAATAGCTAGTTACGATCTCTTATAACTACGTAAAAGCGCTTATTAATAGAAATTAATTTATATAGCCTAGCTTACTACTTATTAATTTTTTATTATACTCGTATATTTAAATTTAATAATATATTTAAATTAGCCCCTATATTAGGTTTATTATATATAATAATTACCTCGTTAACCTACTTTTTTATACTTATTTTATATAGCGCCTATATTACTTTTTTAATTATTCGGGCTTATTAGCTTATATTTAATATTAGTAATAAGGCTAAAGTCGTTCTTAAATATACTCTAAATATTAATAGCGTTAGTATAAGTTTATTAAGCCCTATAGTATCGTTATAGTACTTAAGTACTATCTAGAAGTATTCGTTATTAATAGAATTAGGGTTTTTCTTTTAATAATTTTAAACGCCCTTTTTAGCTACTAATATACTCTTTTTATTTTTTTAATATTATAATACGCTTTTATAAGTACGACTTTTATTTATATATTATAAGTTATTATATTTTTTTTAAATTTTATTAACTTAAAACTCGTATTAGTATTAGTCTTAATACTATTTAATAGTCCCTAGTATATATTGATCTAGCTTTTTTATAGAGCTATTTATACTATTTTTATTTATAAATCTTATAAAAATCGCCCTATTTAGAATAATATAGCTTCGTTAATTATATATAGAACTAGTTAACTATTTAAGTAAAAAATATTAATAACGATTTCTTAATTAAAGTTAAGCTTATTACGTAATTTAAATTTAAATTTGCGTAGGCTCTGCGCGTTTATTTAGTATTAATAATATACTTTCGTTAACTATTTTAATACCCCTATTTCGATATTATTATTACTTAATTACTTTAAAAAGCTATATAGCTTTATAACTAACGGGTAGCTAAATCTTTAGTATAGTTATCTAAGCTTACTTTTTATTAAATAATTAATTAATTTCGTATTATTAATAAGTTTTATAAACGTATACCCCTATTATTATTTAACTATTTTAAAGTACTTATAGCTAAAATTTCTATTTTCTATATTATCGAATATAATACCTAGTTAATTTATATTTTTTTAAATATAAGAGAAATAGGGTATTAATAAGTAAAATATAAAAAGTTATCGTTTTAAAATACGTTTTTATTTTTATTATACTTAGGGTAACGATTTCCTTACTTAGGCCGAAGCTAATTTTTATAATACTTATTATTAATATATTAAGTATTATTAGTGCGATTTTTTATAGCACTTAAAATTACTTTCTTTTTTTTATTAACTATTACGATGCTTTAGTATTTAAAATAATTTTATAAAAATTATTTAGGCCGTACTTTTTACTTACGTAGAATGTTTATACGAGCTTAGTATTTAAATAATTTAAGTAGTATAAAAAGGACCTCTTTAGCTACCCCTAAAATTACTTAGTATTATATTCTTTTTTTAAATATTAAGAGAGGTATTAATTTCTTTTTAAATATTAAGAGAATAGAATTTTATATTATTAAATTCGTCCTTTTATTTACCTCTATATTTATTATTTAAGGGACTTTTCTTATTATCTATAAATAAAAACCTACTTATTAAAAGCTTTTACTATTTTTTATTTATTTAGCTTCGTATATTTTTTAAAGGCTAACGGGGCGAAAAAAGGGTAGTTAATATTATTAATTTTATTATAATTTAATTTATTAATATAGGGGGCGAGATTTTTTTTATTTTTCGAATTTTTTATAAGGGGTAAATATTTTAAACCGCTATTTTAGCTACTATTACTAAGTTCCGTACCCCCGGATTTACCCTTATATATAATAAAGAATTAGTTAAACTAATAAGGGCTAGTTTTATTATTTACTACCCTCGACTTTTTATATTATTTATATAATTTAGTACGCTCCTCCTCGGAGTAATTACTTAATTAATATCTATAGCACGTATAGCTTTAACGAGGTAATACGGGATATTCTAATAAAAGAATATAAAAGTAAATATTCATATAAAAGCAAGAATATATGAATATAGGGGAAATAAGCGTATATAAAAGAGGTTTTTGTAATAAAGAGAGTAATATAGTTAAATTATTATATAAGAAGTTGCTTGCTTAACGAAAGGTCTAGGTAAGTAAATACACGCCTATATATAAGTATAAAAACCTCCTACTAAAATATTCCATTGCTTATTAATTATGATATAATTAATAAGCGCATACGTAAGTGAATGCGTAATCGTAGTACGTAATTCCGTCTCGAGAGAATTCCAGCTTATTCAGTTACCTTCCAGCACTTTCCATTGCTCACGTAAGCTTATGTAAGCAGTATTGCTTACATAATCAATACCTATAATAATCTACAGAAATTATAGATTATTATAGTATATAGTTTGCTTACGTAATATTGATAATAAGGCGAATAATAAGGTAAACAAAATTACCTTCGTAACAATATCTATTTTCTTTATAAATAAAATATTACTTTTTTTATTACCCTACTTATAAGTTAAATCTCTACTTATTTAATAAATCTAGGCCTCTTTATTAGTAATTATTATACTTAGCTTTTTTTGTTTTTTTATTATACGTCTAGTTAACCTAATACTATTAATAAGGGCCGTTATATACTTAGAAATAGGTTTAGTATAGTATTTTTATTTTAATATTAAAATTAGATCTTAGTTTTAAATAGAGCGTTTTATAGTTTTCGGGTACTTAGTATAAGGTTATTTTTATTTTTAATACGCACTAAATTATAGTATAGAAATATTTAATTTTTTACTTATTAATTCTTTTATTTAGCTAGGTTTTTATTAGTTTATTAATTTAATTAATAAGCTCTTTAAGGATTTTTATTTATAATTTACCCTCTATTATCCTAGCTATAAATATAAAAGAAATTGCTTATAGCTTAAATAGGAGCTTTAAATTTTTATTATAAGTTTCGAAATAGCTTTAGATTATATTAATAATACTAAAAAAATCGTTCTAATTAAGATTACGTACCGCTTTATAATAGTAATTAAAGGCTTTATTTACGAGTATAATATTAATTATTAAATAGTATTAGTATTCCCTAATCCCGACTTTTTATAATAATTATAAAATATTATTAAGGTTTTTTATAAAACCTCGTACTTCCCTTTAAAATATAATTTCTTTTTTAAAAAGATCTTTTTAAAATTTATAAATTACCTCGTATTTACTATTATATTTTTAGTATTTATATATAATCTTTGCGTTATTACGTATTATTAATAATTTTAGGTTATTTATCTCTTTTTTTATTAACTAATTAGTACTAAATTTTATATTAATAATAATAACGGGCTATAAATTAAAATAAATAGAATTATTAATTATTATACGTTTAGTATTATATTTTATTTTTATATATCTTTTTATAATAATAGATTACCGTTAGTAATTATAAAAAAGAAATCTAGGTCGTTTACTTTTTTTTTAAATTTATTAAAATAATTATACGTTTTATTAACTTATACTTAGTTTTATAATACGAATTCCTCTTTTATAATCGTTATTACTAAGATTTTATATAGTTTTTA